AGTAGTTTAATAAAATTTTGAATGTAAGACACTAAAACCTTGTGTCATGTGCAGTAAAGGGTACCCATGCCGATAGGGTTAAACATTATAGTATGGAAACAATAATAAGTACAAAGTGGCTATGAGGTTGGTCAGTTCGACTGAGTCCGTGGTGAGAGAGTTAATCCTCCAACTCATCTTTAGTTTCAGTGGAAAATAGAAAAGAAATATTTTTGTACCTTCTATATCTGACTGAAGGATATTCTCCTAATGTGGCACACAATGTTGCTACTTGCTCAGCAATCCTTTCCAAGTGAGCAGTACGAAGAGAAGCTTTAGCTGGGTTATAGTAATATTGGAAAGAATCTGGAGTATCCAAAGAGAAAATCTACAAAAAAAATTAATGTGTTGTTCACTTTGGTGCATGTCAAAATTTTAACAGATCAAAAACTATGAAAAATCCTCATTATATTCTACTTTTGTTTTGAGTCAGCAAACTATAAAATGCAAACAGCTAAGACAATAAGTTTACAATTTGCTTAAAAAAATTAAAAATACATCCCAAATATTTCATAATACTTGAAAAATGTATGCTTCAAAATAAACACAAAGTAATTCAGTAACTTTAGCATTTTTTTAATAAATGCATATTCCTTCTCCACTGGATGAATTAGGAATATCTATATACATACATTTCATTTAAGGAATTTTTGATTCACGAAATAGGTCTAAAGAGGATTGAACTCAGTAGGTGAGCACCAAACCATTTATGCTAACATTTATTATTCAGTTTAATTCTGAACTAACAAATTCTTCAAATAAAGTTATTTATCTACAGATACATTTACTCTGCACACTATGTGAAATTAAACAGTGTTAATCAAATCATTTTTACAAAACCTGTGGTAATTTTTGTCACTATTAAAATATCTTAGCAATCAAACAAAAATCCAATACCTAAAAACAGTGTGCACCCATGTGTATGTATGTATTACATATTCTTGAGGTCTCTATAAGCATGTGAAAGGTAGTACACATCTAATGACTTTTTGTTAAATACCAAACCTTTTAGTAAACCTAACAGTTACAGAAATATACATACCTGTGATTCATATGGTAGAAAGGCAATATTTATCTCCTTTAATGTTTTAATCACTTTAGCACAAGGTGACTTACAAAGTTCATTAAATAATTCATCAGGGCAGGCTAGAATGAAAAAGATCATAACCAGCTTATGCAAGTTGTATCTGATAAGAAAAGTAACAGCAGAGAACCAAATTTTATAACTCTACTTTAAGTAAAATAGCAAAAAACATCCCACAAAATTAGCTATCTTATCTAATGTTTATGACTTATACTGAGCTGTTTCTCTATACTTAAAATCAGCTTTGCTCTTATACTCATGACTTGTCCTTAGACCAATGTTGCCTGTGTTCCTCAATCATCTTATTAATGTATAGTACAAGTATAACTTGTACTAAGAATAAATCTGAGACCTATAACTCTGTTAGTCTGACAAACCTATGTCATAACAGGCTAGATATTCTTTATTAACAATAAATTCCACTTCACATGTCCTCTTTCACAGTCTTGCTTTCTTCTTGTTTATCCATTTACCACAAGTAACACAGCTCTTCCAGATGGCATATATTGTTTTCTGCTACTCTTCTCTTTTAACTTCAATCTCCTTGAACATTTCCTGAGTCTTCCTATCCAAGCTACAGTTCTTTTATTTGGCTTTACATTATTATTATACAACATACTTTGCTTGTTCAATTCCTCTACTCATGTAGGTCATTTTAATACCTTATTTACAACATAAAAAAACTGGGAAAACATGCCCCTTTACAATTTCTTCATCAAATCTCATACATTTATAACAGAGGTATGGTACACAGATCTGTACTTTTTCTAAGACCAATGACATTGCCTATGAATATATGCTCATTCTTTTCTATAAAGTTACATTATACCATTTCGTCAAACTGACAGATATTTATTGTTTGTTAGTTCCAGAAAACAGAATAAAAAAATGACAACAAAAAAAATCTTCAACATTCAAAACACATGAAAGTGTAAATCACATTCAAACTTTGCTTGCAAGAAGTCTAGAAAATCACTATGTGGAACCTTAAATAAAATACATATGTTGTACGTAATAGTTGTTTGATTGTTTGGCATTTACTGGCACAAAGCAACTAGGTTATCTGCTCCAAACAACTGGTAAAAAAGCTGCAAGTAAAATGCAATAAAATGTTAAAAGAAAACAAATTAAAAATGAAACAAAGCCCAAAAAGCAGGTAAAAGACTCAAATAGATTTAAAAAACCAATGGCCCATAAAAACAATGGGTTAAAAACTGTGACCAATGCGTAGCCTAGACAAGACAATTTCCTCCCATTGATCCTTATGGATCTAAACAGCCAGATAATAACAGTACATTTGATCTGGAAAAGCTTGTTATGAAGTTGTTCACCCCAAATCAACTGCCAAATGACACGAAGCCGGGCCTTGATCACAGGACCATAGTCCATATAGGGTACAGACATGCTGTGAACAGCTCAGAACAGACAGACTTAGCTGCAGTGTCAACATGCTTATTCCTTTAAATACCAACATGGTCAGGTATCCAGAAAAACTGGAGAGAAACAGATCGTTTCTGGATGTCTAAGAAAACAGGGTGAGAACTGACATTAAGAAATTCCAGGGATAGTGGAGAGCTAAGAAAGTCAGTGTAAATAGTACAGTTAGTGTACTGCTGAACTTCTACGTGATCCAAGGCAAGAGAAATGGTATACAGCTCAGCAGTGAATGCAGAAACTGTAGAGGGGATTCTGTGAGCAACCACCGAGCCACAAAAAATCATGGCAGAGCCTACAGAGTCACCTGATTTTGACCTATCCATAAAATCACAAACAGAAGAATGGTTCAAAAGATGTTTGGCAAAGAAAATATGGTACTTCCAATAATGAGTATCCACCTTCCTCATATGACTCAAAAAAGGTTGCAGGTTGGGATGTTAACAAGCTATGGAGGAATGGTCTAGCAACAACATACAATGACAGACCCAATTCAGGCATCTGTGCCTGGAGATGAAGACCATATGGAGGAATAGCTGACTGCCAATTCTGAAAGAGCAAAGCCCACAGAAGAGGGATGCTGTGGTAAGCACTGAAGCTTAGTAGCATATGGTAAACAAAGTTGCAAATATCAGAAGTGAAAATGAGGGTCATGGGACTCAGTGTACAAACTCTGGACTGGAGAAGCATGGAAAGCCCCCATGCAGAGTCAAAGCACCAGATAAGGTACAGGGTCCAACACCTTCAAGGCAGAGAGCCAGGCAGAAGCATAGCCCAGAGGTGAAAGAGAGGACATGGAAGATGTTCATTGCCTTTGTACACTTGATACTAAAATGCTTAATGTGAGAAATGAAAATAAGCTTATGCTCAAAGATAAGCCCCATGAACTTTGTCTCAGAAACCATGGAAAGAACAACACCACTGCTAGTGGCAAAAATGGACATAAAGAGAAAACAGGTAATGAAACCAGTATTGGAGAGAGAAAGGTTGTGATCTGACATCATATACTCCACAGATTGACCTCTTCCATCAATATCAGCACCACCCCAAAGGGGATTGTGTCCATTAAAATCTACAAGGATGAAAAAGGGAGACAGCAACTGTTCTATGAGAGCATAAAGGTCTGACTGATCATAGGTCTCTCCTGGAGACAGGTAAAGAGAACAAACAGTGATGGCATGACCAATGGAGATACAGATGTCCACAGCCTCCAAGGGTGTATCAAGTGGCACAGACAAGGTGGGTATGTAGTGGTCAACCAGCAATGCCACACCTCCATGGACTCGTCCATCACACAACCTGTCATTCCAGTATAAAGAAAAGTGCCAAAGGGTGATAGTATCAGCAGGTCTCAGGAATGTTTCTGTAAGGAGAGACACATTGGATGATAGGAATCAATCAAGGACTTAATGTCATCCAAATTAGAACAAAAACCTCAACAGTTCCACTGTATAAAAGTTTCCATTTTTATTTAGGTGGTGGAGAACTCTTCTGTTTGTGATCAAGATGTTTTTCGTTTGAAGAAAGAGGTATTTCAACCTCCATGGAACCCACCCAGGGACAATTGGGCAGATCTATGCCAGAGGATGGAGACTCCAGTGACAGAGGGCATGACCAAATAATGGTCCTGCACCTCAGGGCCAAAGAAGATGTACCCGAGCAGTCACTAGAAACAATGGTGGGGATAGAGACAGGGGTAGACATAGACTTGTCAACTCTTGCATCAACAGAGGGCAAAAGGCTCTTTACATGTGTGAAAAAGACTCTGATAGAGGCACAAAAAGATCTGTCTGCACTGCCTCTGTAGCAGTGGAACAGAGAACAACAAATTATGTCCAAGATTGACCAGTAGACAACAAGAAATGTTGTTTACAGTACATAAATGTTCTACCTCTTTCTCCTCCACCCACTTAGAACAAAATTGAAAGTAAGAGGGGTAAAAACCATCACAATTGACACAGTGAGGATCCAGTTGTAGGCATCATGGGCTTTGCTACCACAATAAGCACATGCCAAAGAACCACAACATGATGCTATAGAATGTCTGAACAGCTGACATTGGAAACACCTGAGAGGGTTAGGAATATAAAGACTTTTCTTACAGTTCAAATAACCTG